TAGATTTGTATCACTCCACCCAATAGATTTGTATCACTCCACCCAATAGACTTGTATCACTCCACCCAATAGATTTGTATCACTCCACCCAATAGATTTGTATCTCTCCACCCAATAGATTTGTATCTCTCCACCCAATAGATTTGTATCACTCCACCCAATAGATTTGTATCACTCCACCCAATAGATTTGTATCACTCCACCCAATAGATTTGTATCACTCCACCCAATAGATTTGTATCACTCCACCCAATAGATTTGTATCACTCCACCCAATAGACTTGTATCACTCCACCCAATAGACTTGTATCACTCCACCCAATAGATTTGTATCACTCCGCCCAATAGATTTGTATCACTCCACCCAATAGGCTTGTATCACTCTATCCAATAGGCTTGTATCGCTCTACCCAATAGACTTGTATCGCTCCACCCAATAGACTTGTATCACTCCACCCAATAGATTTGTATCACTCCACCCAATAGACTTGTATCACTCCACCCAATAGATTTGTATCACTCCATTCAATAGACTTGTATCACTCCACCCAATAGATTTGAATCACTCCATTCAATAGATTTGTATCACTCCACCCAATAGAGTATGAAAGGTAGTTGTTTCAGTTGGAAATGTATCCAGGCATGTACTGTTTATTTCATGACATACTTTTATTTTCTGTCTGTAGCTGAAGAAGAGAAAAAAAACATGAGTTTTGTTGAGAAAATGGTTGCAAGTATTGTTAACAACATTCAGGTATGTCTGCTGCTACATTATTTCTCTGATTGTCCAACTCTTGTCATTTTTCACAAAACAAATCTGAATAATCTTTTCCATTTTTTCCCAAAAAATGTTGAACAAGAATCAAGAAAGTTTGGTCAAAAATTAACATAAAAATTATACAAGATACATAAAAATATGAAAAATGGTAGTGTTCAAAGAGTTATGAAACAAAACATTTATTTTACATCAACAGTTTTGTTTTGACCATTTATGTTTGCATATAAACAATAGTCTCAGAGTAAATAAGCGAAATAATTAAGTTATCAATCATATACTTGTATCCCACAATGCAATGCAACAATGATGTCATTCTGAAGCGCCTTTCCTTCCTAACTGAACATCCTGCATAACGATTGGTCATGATTTATCTAACCATGAACGGTTGCTGTGTTGGCATGTCAACCATGACTGATTTGATATTTATTTCTATGCTATTTGCTGCCTTTCATATCGTATGTTATAAT